GCTGCTGTAATATAAAATGTAAAAAATTACACACTCAGCCTGTAATGGGCAGGTTTAATGCACTACTTTTATAAGTAGTGGCTTAAAAGTTCTTCGATTCCTGAAGTTACCTGCCACAGAGATCTGGTCAGATGTTTTAGCACTGGAACAGTCAGATTCAGTATCAAACAATGAGGAGAGCTCTGTCAGAATGAGCCACCTGTCATAAGGTTTCAGAATAAGTGGTTCAGTGGCCTCAGATAGAAATCTGTCCAGTGTCCAGAGGTAGGAGACCTGGATTTGCTTCTGACAGGAACTAATCAACTCTGTCATTTGGAGAAAGTCACTTGCCTTTATGCGTATCTCCCCATTTGGAAAATGGGAACATTCCCTTTCCAATATACTTCTTATTTTAAGACTTTTAAAAATATTTTATTTTATTTTATTTATTTATTTTTTAATGTTTATTTACTTTTGAGAGAGAGAGAGAGAGAGAGAGAGAGCGAGCAGGGGAGGGGCAGAGAGAGAAGGAGACCGAATCTGAAACAGGCTCCAGGCTCTGAGCTGTCAGCACAAAGCCCGACATGGGGCTCGAAGTCACAAACCATGAGATCATGACCGGAGCTGAAGTCGGATGCTTAATGGGCTGAGCCACCCAGGTGCCTCTAGACTTCTAAAAATACTTAAAAATGCTGTAAATAATATGAACAGAATCAATATAGCTAATATTTAGTAGAAGGTTTACTGTGTGTTGGCTATCTGATACGTGTATATGCACTCACAGACACATATTCCCACCCCCCGGCCCCCCCATTTATTACTGGCAGCTGTGCTGTGAGGTGAGCTAGGTATTATTATCCACTCTGAGCTAATAAAAACTGAAGTTCTGAGGGGTTAGGTCTTAACTCAAGATCACACACACCTCATTAACTTGTCTACCTGATTCTCCTAGTGATAGGAGAAGCCAGCCAGACCCAGCCTGGCCGGCTGTTATGCCTTGCACCCCACTGGCCTTCAAGAGCTCACCATACCCAGCCCTTGGCAGCTGGGCAGGGCCCAAGGCAGTCAGAGTCCTCGGTTATTTTAGGCTCTGAATAGTTTTATTTTGGGTTCCATATACCCTCCAGATTATCACAGTGTGCTCTCAAAATACCATCATTCTTTGTATGTATCATTACATGAGAAACGTTGATGGATGTCCAGACTAGACCGTTTTACCTCTTCTGGCGTCACCTCATGGATGCTTGACATCATCAGCCTCTGGGAACAGAAAATGAAGAGTCCCGCAGGACCACATTGACCAGTCCTAACATCATCGAGGGTGACTTTTAATCACAGATGTCAGATTTGTTTGTCTTGTTGGTTTTCAGGCCTAGCTTGTGTTAATCTGTAGAGCTGGGTTGTGAACTCACAGACAAGCATGCTTTGTACCCAGTGAGGTTTGGTTTTCTATGACCAGGGGATGGTCAGTAGTGATGTCGTTCTTCAACGCCAAACCCAGGACTTGCCTTTCAGATTTTCCTGCGTCTGATGACACTTTGCCTAAGCTACCCTTTGTGGCAGATCCCACATGCACGGCAAGAGTTAAATGAATGAAGTAGTTTTATTTACCACTTTAATAAAAGGTAGGGGACAAGCTGAGGATCCCCAGGGGCAGCATTTGTTTGAGCTCTGTGAATTGAGGTTTAGATATTTCTGCTCTGCATGATGAAAACAAATAATATTAGTACTAACGCAGTCCATAGAGCAAGAGCCCTGTTAGTCCTATCTCTGAAACCTACACGAGGCCTGTAATTCATCTCTGTGCTCTATTTACTTAGATTCTGGATTATTGAGCCGGAGAAGGTTTATCTAATTAGCATTTGAGGAGTCTCCAGCGATGCCATCTCAATGATGTTAATTACACTTGGATCACCTCTTACTATCCCCCTGATGTACCATGGGCCTGAGATACCACGCCCCTTTGCTAACATCTGATGCTTGTTGAAGGAAGTAATGATCATGCCTGTTGTTCCCTAGGGTGGATGTTCCCCTAGGCAGGAGGATGGTCATATTTCATAGCTGGGCTCAGTATGGGTGGTAGCTGGCCCCTTTCCAAACAGCAACTTACTTCAATTCTTTGCTAGGAAGATAAAGAACATCAGAAAAGCACTGAGCTGTTAGAAGGAAACCTTGTAGTTACCAAGACTATTTGTTTTAATGCTTATTAATTTTTGATATAGAGAGAGCTGGGAAGGGACAGAGAGAGAGAGAGAACAGAATCCCAAGTAGGCTCCACGCTGTCAGCACAGAGCCTGACACGGGGCTTGAACTCACAAACTGTGAGATTATGACCTCAGCCGAAGTCAGACGCTTAACTGACTGAGCCACCCAGGAGTCCCGTTTTTATGAAGCTTCTTCTGCCTTCCCAGACACACAGAACTGTGCCTGGAACACACAGAACAATGGTTTCTGGTGCTCATCTCTGACTTGGTGTTGGACTGGCTGATGGCTGTGTGCGAGCTACTTCTGGAGTTTATAAAGTACGGATCTGGTGGTCTGCAGCAGGCCCTGGGAATATATTTTTCTAATATGCACCCTAGTTTGGGAAGCACAGCTCTGGGACCGCCTCATATAATTTTGCAATTACTGTAAAAATGATAGTCCAGTTTTCTGGTCACATCACATCGTTTTCTGACTGAGATGGCCTTTCCATCATAATGACATGATATGACCTCCTGTGTCCCACCCTTTACCCATTCATTTTATCGGTATTTAACAGCTGTCTAGGATGGGCTCCAGGAACGAAGGTGAAAAGACCAAAAGATGCATGGTTCCAAGACTATAGTGTCTTTGGTCTGGTTGGGAGACAGTTGAACAGTCAAGCAACTATTGTAGAACAACAAAGTTGTCTGAACTGAATTGCAAGGGGAGCAGGTGGAATTTGCTTGCAAGTCAGGTAATGCATCCTACAGGAGAAACCCTTTGACTGGAGGCTTGACAGAGGAGGGGGTGGTTGTCAGAAACTACATGAATACATACGGGAAGGTGGAGGGAGCTTCTTTGTAAAGTCTTAGTGCCCAGAGAGCCTGCTACATGACAAGAACTACATGTCTCTTGGTTTGCCGTGGTGTGAAACACGAGGCCATACATGATAGAAATGAGAATGGGTATATTGGCTAACTGCCAAATCAGGAGGGGCTTGTGGGTCACGTGTGGTAGGAATTTGTATTTGACTTCATTAGCACATTTTCCCTGCATATGTGGGTATTTTTATAAGTGCCTCATTGATCCATATCTCTTTCAGATCCTCTCCCCTGACAGTCTGTCATGATGAAATTTCTTACTCTCCTGTAGTACCTTGGAAGGGGCACTTTGCTATATCCCATGGGCAGCCCTAGCCTCAATTCTCATTTTCTGGCCCTATTCACACCATTTTTTTTTTTTCCGAAGCTAGAAATCAGCGTCTTTGGGGGCTTCCTTCCCCGTACAACGTATGTCCTTTTTGAAAGCCAGTTACCTGCCTTGCCACCTTGATCTCTGCCGCTTTCCTCCTTGATCCCTAAGCTCCCTGTCTTGACACTGATCTTTTTCAGGCTTTCAAAGAAAACCTATTTCTACTGCAGGGCTTCTGCACATGCTGTTCCCTCAGCCTGCAGTTCTCCATCGTCACCCCATCTAGGTGATCTTCCCTGCAAGAGCCTCTTTCAGCCTCTGTTTAAAACAAGCCCACTCCCCTATGTTTTGTGACACTTAATACAATTTTATATTGTTTTATTTGTTTTGTTGACTTTCTTTTTCCTTTATTGCCAAATATCCCATTTAGATTTTATAAGAGCAACGCCATGGTGTGACTCAATAATTGCAGCCTCCTTATGTATTTAGTCATTCATATTAGATAACTGCTTGCTGGATGAGTGGATGGATGGATGGTATGTGGATGGATGGCTGAATAATGGATTGATGAATGGATGGATGGATGGATGGATGGATGGATAGATGGGTAGATAGATGGATGGATGAATAATGGATGGGTGGATGGATGGAATTGAAGTCTGTGAATTGAATTCTTAAAAATGCAATGTGCCATTCTTCTTTCAAGCTGTAGTCCCACTTAGCCAGGCTCCTGAGATTTGTCTTCTCCCCCTGGAGCCCACTGAAGCTGCATCCACCCCTCATGCCACAGTCTAAGCACCATTCACTCATTTAATGGCATCTGTGATTTCAAAAGCTGACACTGATTTGTCCCTCTCCTGACATGTATAAAATATATGTTTGTGTTTTTTTAATTAGCTTGGAGTGTATTTGCGTTGTTTCCAATTTGATCACTTATCCAAACTTCATCTAAGTTACAGTTTTTAAAAAGACTTTAATTATAAGAAAAGCATTTTTTTCTCATAATGAAGGCAACAGAACCATTTCAGAAAACGTGAGAGTTTCATGAAGCAAATGAGCATCCTGCACAATTTCTCCACCCTGGATTAAATACTATAGAATACCATAGGTATTTTGTTTTTTTTCCCTTCACTGCTTTTCCTATACATTCCACAACCTTATGTGCGTGTGTGTATACATGTATATGTATCCTGAATTGTAACATGATATGACCCTCATGTCATTATAAAGACTTTTAAAGGCTATTTCATTGTATGCATGATCCTAAGTTCTATTTTCGAGAATCATTGTTGAGTGCCAACAAGGTGGCAGGCACTGAGGTGTATATTACATACCACTCTAAAATTTACTGCTTAGTGAGCCGGAGAAAATAATAAAAGAGTGTCTTTCCTCAAGCAGCTCTGTTTCTATGTGGCTGTGGCAGGTTGCAGAAGCAAGAGGTGAAACTCTGGAGTTTGAATTAGAGGCAAACATGAAAGACTGGATCCCCAACAAATATACTCAGTTCAAACACTGAGTGCATTGAGCACACAGATGTCTTAAGTAAATGTGTTCCTCCTAGACCTCTAGAATAGTGAATTGGGTTGGAAGGTGTGACTTCTTAATTCCTAGCTGTGAGACTGACTTATGTTTTCCTTCTTTTTTAGAGTGACCGTCTTCTTATCAAGGGTGGCAGAATTGTCAACGATGATCAGTCCTTTTATGCTGACATTTACATGGAAGATGGATTAATAAAGTACGTATATAGAGCCTTATCTTTATCTTTTTGTACTTCCTCTCTTTATTAGAGGCTCAGAAAGAAGCTTCCTTCTTTTTTGCTTACTAGACCTTTGATTCTTTGTGTTTCATTTCTTCTTCTCCTTAAAAAATGAGTCTTTATTTAAAAAAAATTAATGTTTGTTTATTTATTTATTTTGAGAAGAGAGAGAGAGTGAGGAAAGGAGGGGTAGAGAGAGAGGGAGAGAGAGAATCCCAGACAGGCTCCGTGCTGTCAGTTCAGAGCCTGACATAGGGCTCTATCCCACAAGCTGTGCGATCATGACCTGAGCCGAAATCAAGAGTTAGACACTTAACCGACTGAACCACTCAAGCACCCCTAAAACTGAGTCTTTATTTTAACCCTTTGTTCTGGATGCACATAATCCCTTAAAATGGGAACTGGTTTTAGTTTATTTGAATTCCATGAATGATGTGAAAAATCTGAATTCAGTCAACCAAATGATGCTGTAGGCCCCTTTGTGCAAGTGACATTGACGGGCACTCTGTGCATCTTGGAGAAGCGGAAGATGTGACATTGTCCTTAAGTTCAGTGAAAACTGCACAAAAATTACAGCCCCCTAAAAATGTAAGGCCTTAGGTAATTGGTATCAGAGTTCAAGTGAGGATAAGTGATACAGAAGTGCACCAAGAGGAGAAATCCCTTCAGAGGATGGTTTGCAGGGCTGGAGAGGCATTTAAACTGAGCCTTGACTTAGGTAGAGCTTAGGTGGCTGGAGCACAGATAGGACCTACATCTCAGATAAGATTTTCAAATAGATACTTTAGGGATGTGTACTTACCTTACAGAACGATCCTCTATCCCCTTTCTCTCTGCCCCTCTGCCACTGGTTCTGTCTCTCTCTCAAAATAAACAAATGAACTTCAGGAAGAAAAAAGTGGGGTTTGGTCTACACACAAGCCTTTCCTCACATAAAGCAAGGTATGCCGCAGACACACAAAAGATAGTGTCTGAGACTGGTGGGTACAGGCCATCCTGTTCGCCACCCCTGGCCTTGCTCAGTTTTATTTTTACATTATGTGGCTAGTTTAAGATTCTGGTTATAGAGGATCTCTTCCTTATCTTTGAAAACTTGGCCGAGGTATAACTTTCCGTGGGTGGGTATTCCTTATGAGACCCCAAATCTAGGCTCGTGTCCCTTCAGTGAGCCTCAACACACCTTGTTGTGCTTTTATCAGTCACAGAACTTCTGGCACTGTTTGGCGCCCTGAAGGGGAATGACCCCATCTTGTTCAGCTCTGTATCTGAGCATTTCACCCAGAACTTAGCATGTAGAGGCTAAAGAGCTACCTTTTATTGAGTATGTAGTATGTGCCACGCACTGTGTGAAATGGTTGACATGCCTTACTTCATAGAGTCTGCCAGCAATACCACAAAGTAAGTACTGTTAGTACCTTTTTCTCAGATGAGGAGAAAGAGGAACACAGGGAGTAATTCACTTGCTAATGATTAACATATTCATCAAATACATTGAATGAATGAATGAGTGAATGAATGAATAAACAAATGCATGAATGAAGATATTCTTGTTTAGTTGCCTTACTGACAAAGACACTTTTTCATATTAGAAAGAAGACAGATGGAAATAGTAGGCAAGCTAACGAATGTGAAATAATAATTTCTTTAAAATATAAGTGATTTCATATTTTTCTCTTACTAAAAAAGTTAAAAAAATTTTTTTCATTTTATTTATTTTATTTTTTTTTTTTTTTTTTTTTTTTTTTTTTTTAAACGCATGTATTTTGGGCACAGAGAGAGACAGAAAGCATGAACGGGGAGGGGCAGAGAGAGGAGACACAGAATTCCTGAAAGAGCTCCAGGCTTGCGAGCCATCAGCCCAGAGCCTGACGCTGAGGCCTCCAACCACGGACTGTGAGATCGTCGACCTGCTGAAGTCGACTAATCGACCATCGTGCGCCACCCAGGCTTCCATTTTATTATTTAGAAAAGAGAAATGACTGAGCAGGGAGCACAGGAGAGAGAGAGAGAGAGAGAGAGAGAGAGAGAGAGAGAGAGAGAGAGAATCTTAAGCAGACTCTATGCTCAGCATGGAACCCAGTATGGGGCTTGATCCCATGACCCTGGGATCTTGACCTGAGCCAAAATCAAGAGTTGGTCACTCAATCAACTGAGCCACTTAGGTGCCACTTGCTAAAAAATTATTGTATACAGTTGGCTCTCTTTGGAGATAGCAGGTTCCCTGATGTAGAGATTTTCAGAGATGGAAATAAACATAGTACCTAATGTTGCTTCCTCATTCCAGAGCTCATGACGGGCATCACTAATTGATCACAGAACTTTTCACAGTTGAGCCTTAAATACAGGCTCAGAACCCATCTTCACACAGTGACTCAGGCATCTGCTACCGGAGTTGAATATGTAAATCCTCTTTGCCATCTCTGTTAGAATAGCCTAGAAGGCTGCTTGCCAAGAATGTTCTAGAAGGGATGTAACCATCAGAGGTGTGTGTTGGGGGTGGAGCAAAGGGTGGATTAACATGTTCTTCATCCAATCCTGAAATTTTATAGATCTTCAAAAACATTCTGAAATCACAGAGCATAAAAGCAGAAGTAATTCCCTATGGTTGTTACATAGCTGTTTGCCTATCTGAGTATTTACGGAGAGCCTGCTGTGTACAAGGCAGTTGTCTAAGGCATGGGACACGTGCTATATCACGTGCTATGGTGGATATCATTGAGACCCACATCTTCCCCTAGGAACCCCACATTCTTTTAGGGGAACTGAGGGAGATATCTGTATTTATGAAAAAGGCATAACATTACCTGATAATATCAGTAACAAGTATTAAAGTAACAGAGTAGATGAGATTCAGGGAGAGGGCTATATGGGATTAGTATGGTTATTGACTATAATAGCTGATGCTTATTGACTTCTGTGCCTAGCAGTACGCTATGGGCTTAACACATATTAACACTTAATCTACATGACAAACCTATGGAGGAAGTGTTTTTTTTACATCTCACAAATGAAGGAATCAAGACATGGTGAGGTTAAGCAACTTGGCCAAGGTCATAAAGCTAGTAACTAACAGAGCCAGGATTGTGAACCCAGACAGTCTACATCCAGGGCACATCTACACTCTTAATTATTAGACCTGGCTGGCTGTCAGTAGGGATTTGAGCAAGGTGGGGAGATACAAGCCAAGCCTTCAAGGATTAATGTGACCTTGAGTGATTCAGTGGAGAAAAGGAGGAAGGCATTTCTGATTCAGACATGGTATTACAAGTGCTCAAAACTGGTGGAAACATGAATATATACACACATGGGCTGGACAGCTAACTCTTCATGCCTTTTGTTCTCAATTTGCCTCAGAGGGAAATCGGGGAGGGAGGGAAATGGGAAGACAATGGCCAGTATCTGGACTATAATGGAGTTACAATCAGAGGCTACATTTTTTCCGCAGTGTGTTTTGAATTGTGGTGTCTCTGGAATGGCCCGATGGGGATGTGGTGAAGTTGAACTCTTAGAGATGTCAGGAATACTTTATTTTAGTTGCAGAACTTAGATTTTGGCAGGCCAGTGGTGGACTTCTTACTATCCCGAGAGAGTGTCTGTCTTGGCTGGCTATGCACAAAAGGGGAATGTATTCATGCCACTGGTAGTGAGGTACATGTCTCCCCAAGGTAGGATGTGGGTATTAATAACGTCAGGGCTTGTGACTCTTAAGTCTACCTAGAATTAACTGGTCATTTAAATTTTTTTTTAATGTTTATTTATTTTTGAGAGAGAGAGAGAGAGAGAGAGAGCGCGAACACGAGCAGGCAAAGGGTAGAGGGAGAGGGAGACACAGAATCCGAAGCAGGCTTCAGGCTCTGAGCTGTCAGCAC